TAATATCTTAATGATATGAATATAATTACAATTCAGCAGTTTATTTCATCGCTTAAATCCAGTGTTTCATCAGTAAATTTTATAAAACAACTGCATGTTTGCAATAATTAGCATCGATGGAATGTAATACCTACTGAGTGCTCAATTCACCGAAGTATCGCAGCAGTTTGTGGTATTCGTAGCTTCTATTTTTAACCTATTTCCATTTCAACGTCATAATTGCAGCACACCTTTTTCGACACAGCCTGTAACACCACTTCATTACTTGATTATCTCGAAAGCAATTCAAGAGACTGTAGGCAAAGTTCATCAACAAACTTTATTAAAACGACTGAAGCAATGCCATCTCGGGATCGTACTGGAGAGTTTCGTACCACAGCAAAATCGTATCAGGTTAATTTATTGCGTAAAAGACCTTTAGGAGCCTTTTTTCGTCTTATGATTTAGTGTGAAGATAAAGCATGAAATAAGCTTCCCCCTCTCAGTTCAAAACTTCGCCATAGAAAAATTGAGGCTATGCCGAGGTAAAATTGATGCGAAACAACTTATTACAAAAATTGATGCGAAACGAAACAAAGTAACAACTTATTACTTCTGATTAGAAGTTAATTAAATTTTTTAATTCAGATGAAAATGCATGGGGTCAGTGGCTATGCACCAAGAGAGCCAAGAATACAGCAATCAGTAGAGTTCGCTCAACTTGCAAAGTAGTCTTTACTGGAATTCAAAATTTGGCTTTTTTAAAGATAAGCAAAGTTGAAACAGTGGAAGGCAGACTTAATTACTTGACTGTTAGAAGAGTTCTAATTTGCTATATTAGAAAAAACTGCATTTCTTAATTGTTTTTTGAACCTTAAAATTATCGTTTTACAGACGTATTGGGCGCGATTTAAGTTTAACATGTGCAAAAGTGGAGAAGTTAACTGAATTAGCCAAACGGCGGTCTTTATTCGACGATCACATGATGGAAGTAGAAGAATTAGCGCAAGTAATAAAACATGTAAGCTTTGAAAGTGTTGTTTAAATAAATGTTATTGAATGTGCTTAATAATTCATAACCTGTAAAATGGAATTTTCTAGGATATAACAGGATTAAATGCGCAGATAGCAACGTTACAAGAATTTTCAAAAAATAACGGTGATTTCAACAAAAAGGACCAAGGACATGGGCATTCACAGTTGATTGTTGTTGGACTTCAATCAAAGCTGGCAGGTGTTAGCAAGGATTTCCAGAATGTGTTGGAGTTACGAACAGAGGTCTACTTTTGACTCCTGCATTTTTTAGCTTCTTCTCTTGTGAATCTTCGAATTGCAGTGCTTCATTGTCTCTATATTCCCTCATTGATTTAGAACCTGAAACAACAAAGATCGCGTCGCGAAAGATTCAGTCAAAGTCAGCCCGTGCCATCAGGTTTGCCGCCTTCTGTCAGTTCCAGAAACTGTAAGTTTTATCGGGAACATTTTAAAACTTTGAAGTTTTCAACTTCAAGAGAATTTAAAAATTTTCTTCCATGCCAAAATGTGAATACAAAATAAAAGGAACTATTCTGAAAAAGTTTTTTTTGGCCCTCTAAATTGAATTTTTGTACCACTAAGTACAATGGGTTACAGAACTATTCTAGAATATGAATCGTTTTTACAGCAAATTTTAAATATTTTCGTGTGAAATTATTTAGGTTAAAAATATGTTTGGAGTTTAAATCACTTAAATAATAGTTTAATATTTTGATTATTTTTGAATTAAATAATTAAATTATTTTATAGCAGGTTCAATTCTATTGCAAGATGAAATGAAAGCGTCATCATCAGTAGCGATTGATATAAATACGTTAGAGCAACAAAGATTTCAACAGCAGGTATTTTTTGTTCTGATTTAGTTTGTTTTGGTCTTCTTTGCTAAAGATAAGTGCGGTATGCATTATACTTCTACGCCGACGAATGTATCCTAACCACCATAGAAATGTTTTATTTAGTGAGATGGATTCAGTTATATTTCCTCATGAAGGAGAAAAAATATGTAGTTGAGTGAAAAGGTGAGAAATTTCGATTTAGAAATGTGAACTCATTTGAGGTTTTAGCTTACCTGATAAATTATTGTTCTCACCTAGAGTACTTCTGATTACAGAACAAAAATAAGAAAAGAGATGCTGTAAAGTATCAAATGAGAAATTGAACATTATAAAATTGTAGGTTTCACTGATTAATGAGCAAGACGCATATTTGCAAGCTCGTTCAAGCACAATGGAAAATATTGAAAGCAGCATATCAGAGCTGGGACAGATTTTTCGTCAGGTTAGTGGATCTTAGCAAAAGTTGCAAACATCAACGATTAATTGAAACATAATATATTTTAAATATACATCTTAATAGTTACATTTTTATACTATTCGTAAATAATAAACTACTTTTGCTATGCAGAAAGCGTAGTTACGGAAGGATATAATGAAGTATATGTGCATTCTTTCTTGTGACCATTTGAGAGAGAACTTGAGCTCTGATAGGCGTAACTCCCTATATTTCCTTTCATGGCTCACAGTGCCATATAGTATCTGGAGAAAAGAGCACGACCACTAGGTTTATTCAAGAAGCGATGTATGTATGTAATTCAGGTGATGTAAAATACTTACTGAGAATAAAAAGAAAAAATCCTTTTAAAGGATGATCAATAGTCATTGCATAAAAAATGATTTAGATGATGTTTAGTTTTCTCCACCGAATATTTTCTTCGATTTAGAATTTCAATCATTTCGAGTTTTTTAGCTGGCTTCACTAGTCACTGAGCAAGGTGAAATGATCACTCGAATTGATTCGAACGTTGAAGAAACATCATTAAATGTTGAAGCTGCTCATACGGAGCTGGTCAAATATTTCCATTCAATATCGCAAAATCGGTGGCTGATTATCAAAGTTTTTGGTGTACTTTTCTTCTTCTTTGTGATATTTATCATTTTTCTAGGTTAGTGCTACTACCGCGATCACTGATTTACTTTTCTTCGTCTTTGTGATATTTATCATTTTTCTCGGTTAGTGCGACTACCGCGATCACTGATTTTCTTACTCATTTCCCAACAAATTTTATGAAAATTTCCGAAAACTTCTGTGAATTGAAAAACTTATGGGTAGATTTAGATAGAACGATATTTTAAGCTGTTTTATCAGTTGTTATTACCAAGAAATTTATTATTCACTTTCATTATTTCTTCTCTCCA